TGGTGCCGGCTGCGCTGTGGCTGTGGTGCTGTCGGTGCCATTGGCTGAAAGTGATGCTTGAATGGATGTAGTCTCTTCAGCGGTCAATTCTGCTGGTGATGTAGGTTGCCCTTCACCAGAGGTGCCATGGGCTGGAGGGGTTGATGTTGGTACCATGGCTGGGGTGCTATGTTCGGACTTGTCTTCAACAACAGGACTGTGCTCTGTGATGGATGGCTGTGGTCCAGCATTCATCCGCTCATCATCCTGGTCAGGTTCTTGTTTGACTTCAAGGCACTTATCGTGACCTGGTAATGGCACTGCCGCCATGTGCTTGCTGTTTTCCATGGCAGCGTCACTGTCCTCACCATCAGCATCATGCATGACGGTGTCGTTTTCGCATGGCCGTTCAACTACCCGTTGCATGATTTCATCCAATGCCCGACAAATAGCAGACCTTAGTTATCATTTCACTGGCAAGTTTCAAGTTACCAGTTGTTTTCATGTTTGTCACTTGTCAACCCCCCCCCCCACAAACATAGATAAATAGAAACAAACGAACAAATGGATTTCATTACATTGAAATGATGTTCACTTCTACTTACGATGAATGATGACAGCCTGTTTTAATCCAGAAATATATTACTGTATATATTTAATAGTTTAAAGTAATGTGTTTGTTTGGACGAGGAACTTGGGATTGGTCTGTGCCATCAGTCCCGAGGTGTTGCGGTGCATAGAACTCATCAAACACACTGCAGCACGGATCGATACATTGTGTTTCTGGCTTGCTTTCTCGCACGTCAGTAGCCCATGTGGAAGGTACATCACATCATTTGGGATGAGATAAGTGAATCGCAAGGTCCTCTGGAGGTCCGGGTTGGCACCCACGGCAGCCTCATCCAAATCCCTGAACGCAATGACGCCCTCCTGGAATGTGCATAGTCATATAGTCACCATCCCACTGTTGTGTTTCATTTGTTTTACAATAATACTATAATTAGTATAAATATAATCTATGATGTATAATTTTTGGAAACGTGTTTTAATGTTTGTAGGCGTGTAGCTACTGTTGTTTACTTGATTTATTATTCATTCTTATTTGCCATTATGTGAACGATGATGATGGCTACTATACTACTAGCTATTCACTAGTCAAAGAACAGCAAGAAAACCACCACACAACACACAAACTGAAGCTGAAGTCCTCCAGAACAGTCTGAATGTTTGCGCCAGATTCAACACGACCACTCCCAGGCATCTCACCGTTCTCGTTGGCAAGCAGGACTGCATCATAAGAATTCAAAGATGCAATCAGCCGGTTTCCCTCCATTTGGTACATCAACACTCCCATGCCGTAAGGAGTGTGGCCCATGAAAATGCTTTTCTCCCTTGCAGCTGTGAGCATGATGCCCATGAATTTGTTCACTTCCTTGTCTGTCTTCTCACTCGACAAAGTCATTGATTTGGCATGATCGCGGATCCTTATATGACCAAGTAGACCAGGCACACAGGTTGAGCATATTCATATTTCACAACATTTGTTGCAACAAAAGACCGACAAACATCAAATAATAATGAATGAACTGGACAATATTTTTTGTTTGCTTTTGTGAAATAAGCCAAGACTGTTAAACCATTGAACTATCTTATGCAAGGTTCCTTTGACAAACCATCTCTCGATCCAAGACCACATCAAATTCGCCTCGAAGCTCTGGTGGCAAGTTCTGGTTCAGCCGATCCAGTGCAAGATGTACCAAGTGATCCATGCCAAGCTCCTCTACAGGGCCAGGTATTGTCAATGTCTTCCGGTTGGAATTCTGCTCAGGAGGGTTAGCCTCAAAGTACTGTGTGCATTCTTGACTGAAGCGTGTGACGTCAGCCACCAAGTTCTTGTGCATATGGTTCACGGCGGTGCTGGTTGTTCCAGGTGCAGCCTGACTCACAGTCAACAGTGACAGGCATCATGTGTATTGTTAAACTATGGAGGTATCCTGTATCCTTAGTTGTTAGTGTATTGTTAGTCTGTTAGTCTCTTAGCTGTTAGTCATGTATTTATCTGTATCGTTTTATCTAAGTATTTCAACATGTTGCTAGTAGTGCTAGTAGCTAGGTGGCTTGAATGTACAGTTTGAGAAGTTGTGGACTGGAGTCTGTGCCATCCGGTAGCCAGAACCAAACAAAAATGATATTAACTGAATCGGAGGCACTGCGAGCA